GAGTGCTACAGTGTCGTGCTGGAGTAGTGGTTGTGGTAGCACATCTGAAAATTGACATTTGATGTCAAAAATTAATTTTTTTTTATTACGGTGGTGGTATTTTATTTTGAAGGTCAAACTTAGCTATAAAAGACTGAAAATCCAATTACAGTTTCCCTCTGAATGTATCCAGGATCAGAAGTGAATTTCTAGTCATGTATTTTCAGTCAGGAATCTTCTTTCTTCAATGTCAGATACGATATCGTCAAAGTACTCGGGGGTTTAGACGTCGAGATGAGCTACTTTTTTAAGCACATGATTGCTATTATTTTATTCACAGCACATCTCAGGGGTTTCCTTCCAGCTTTAGTTCTACTTTACTTGCCTAAATTTACTTGAAGGCTTTTGGGGAAAAAAAACAACAAAAAAGTCATGCTCTATTTTAGTTCACAAGCAGCTTTAGAAAGGATGAATGTAGGACAGGAACTGAGACAGCGTTCACTGTTAGTCAGCAGCTTTTTCATATGGGTTCACAGAGTGCGTTTGTGCGTCTTTTTCCTTTCGGTGTTTGGAAAATTGAAGAAGAAAACGAGACACAGAGAAAAAGCCTTGTGGTTTTACAGAGCGATAAAAATGCAAATTAATTACCTGGTGCCTTCAGCATGAAATGACCCACTTTGTTGGGTTTGGGCATTTTTAGGGGGAATTGTCTGTGGGCATTTTCATCATCAGACCTAATGACACAGTGAAAGAGGAAGAAGGTAGAAAGATAAAGTCTATGACCTACCTCGAATTGTTGATTTCTTTTCTTTTCTGAATTTTAGAAAAAAAGCCACCGTGTCTCCTGCCGTGTTCCAGGTGTAACTATGACAACTTGTTTTTATCGTGGCGCTTTCATTACAAGATGAAATGGGAGCTCCGAAATCCAAACACAGACTCTGAGATCTGAAAACAATGAAAGGAGGTTGTCACCACATTCTGAAATGAATTTAAAGCTTTTTTTTTTTTGTTTTGTTTGTTTCCTTTTACAGATCAGGAGACGCAGACCCACTCCTGCCACTTTGGTGGCGTCCAGTGATCAGTCTTCACCGGGTAAAAACACACGACACCACAAACCAGTGACTGAGATCCACCAACTACATGAAGCACAATTTCCAGTTTCGACTTTTTTTTTTTTCTTGATATTTTTCTATATTAATGATTTCAACCTTTTACATTAGTCACAAAAAGTTTCAACAGTTGTGAAACAAACACTTTTACATACGGTAAAAATCCTGTTTAATCAACATTATACCCAACCACACAGTGATTAATCAGATTACTATTGAAACAATTGGATCATTTTGCAGTGTTTTCTTTTTTTTTTTTTTTTTTTTTTTTTATAGTTTGTAACAAAACAAAGCACTGCTCCGGCGCTAGCCATAAACTGCAGCGGCATCTCCGATATCATAGTAGTCTCCACCCGGGGAAACCTTTAACGCATTTGAATGGGGCGTCTCCAGGTTACAGTATTTTTTTTTAATATAAACTTTGTTTCAGGTTTAAATGTTTATAGCTGTGGTGTAACATAAAAAAAAATTAAAAAAATCTGTCTGGGGGCAAATAGCGGATGTTGCTCCAAGTACTGTTGGTACTGCAGTTGTGTTGGGTGTGATAGCCGCTACTTGAATGCTAAACAGGCCTCCAGACACTAGGTGGCAGCAACTCATACAGTGGTTTGTACAGATAAGAAAATACATGTTAGTCCCCACCTCTCTCTATATATATTATCCCGTAGTCCCACCGCGAATCATGATAGCCAGCAAGCCTGCATAGCGCCATCTAGTGGCAGGGAGTCACTGGGCATACTATCTTACCATGGTCACACATTTTTACCAACAGCCAGTTTCCTTACCCGGAAAAAATATTTTTAACCGTCCTTAAATCTGAACCAAATCATATTTGTAATAAGAGCCGCATTTCTACAGTTAACCCTTCATTATCTCTGTTATCTCTATTTTTCCGTACCATCAGAAATGCACAGGAACGCTGCCGAGCTCCGCTAACAGCTAAAACCGAGTGTTAGGCTAATGAGGATAATGCATAATTAATGAGTGAGGTGTGATTTTTTGAGTTTGAGTTTGACACGCGCTCCAGTGGATTATGGCACTCATTTTTACTCATTTATCACACCATTGATGTGTGGTTAATATCACAAATATATATATATATATATATATATATTACTATGTGAACATATAGAAATATATTGATATATGTATACATATATATCATATATAAATAGATGTATACATATATACATGTATTTATATATATATACATATATGTATACATATATACATATATTTGTATACTGTGTGATACTTTCATTTTTTTAAGAAGATGATGTGTGGTTTATATCTGAAATCGTGTTTAACAAGTAAAGTTATTAACTGACAATCGAAACATTTTAGTTGCAATGCCATTTAAATGAAAACCTTTTTAGGACCTGTGACTTGTGTTTACGTCTCAAACACTGGCGCCTTCTATAAATAACCCGATAACTCCCAACTCACACCAGTGTATCTGCCCTCATCAACTGAAGTCTTCCCAAACTGCCAAATCACGTGGGGTCTACTTGAGTTTTTACACCGATGGGACACGACACATGAAGGCTTATGTAACCCAGTGCACTGTATGGCTCTTTGTTGCATTGCTGCATTTCACTCCGAGTGTCTGTGTGTGTGAGTGTGTGTGTTTATCATCTCCTGGGAATTTAATGATCAAACACAGCAGTTCTCCTCAGAGAGTTATCCCGTGGTGTGTGGTGTGTGTGTGTGTGACTGAGTGTGAGTGAGTCATCCACTGGTTTGTTACGTCTCTCCCCACTCACTGTACGGAAAAAAGAAAAAAAAAAAAAAAAAAAAAAAAAGAAAGATGATGACGTGAGAATACAGTTTTTCAGTTCTCTACATTGCCTGGTATTTCCCTGGTGGTTAAAAAAATAAAGATTCGAACAGAAATATGTCACGTTTATATAAACATCTCATGAATAAATGTTTCCATATTTAGTGGTGTAATTTAATTAAAACAAAAAAAAAACAAAAAAAACCAAACATCCTTACTGTTGAGTTAGGTAGTTAAGGTGGTTAAGGAAGCGGACTTGGGTCCGGAAGGTTTCAGGTTCGAGTCCAACAGCTGCCTCTGAGCATGGCACCGTCCCCTCACACTGCCCCCTGCTGGCTTTAGTGATGGGTAAGAGAGAGATGGAAAAATAAGAATTTTAAAAACACTTCACTGAGTGCAAAATGCTGTGACATAATTGTCAAAACAAGAAGAAAATGGGATTTACCCCCCCCAAAAAATGTTCATATTAACGATTATTTTTCTGGATTCTAAGCCCCGTGTTCATTTAAACACAACATTAAATCCATTGTGAGGCAGCTGAGACGCAGGAGCGGCATAAATTAAAGCAATTAAAGCAATAACATGTGATGACGTACCTGTTTATTTGCATTTAGAGTGGGTGAGTAAGCATGGTGATTACTCCGACCAGACCACCGACTGCTGTAATTATTAGGGAAACAAGGTATTGGAAGAGAGATCGGCTTTTATTTAATGTCTCGCTGGTTCTAATCCTGAGAAAGACAGCCGTGCTGGTAAAAGATCACCAACATTGATAAAAAGAAATTAGAGCCACAGATAAAGATAGACATCGGGCCAGACGCTGAGTCACAAAAACACAGACCGTTTTGGAGGGATAATGAAAACACGGGAGAGGAGCTGTGAGAAAAAAAAAAAAAAAAGTGACAATGTAGGAGAGGAGAGATCTGTTGGTTTAGTCATGGCGTGCTCCTCGTCAGGCATCTCCATGCATTATTTAATGCTCTGCAGATTGCCAAGCCCCATGCATTGCCAGTCTAAAAAAAAAAAAAAAAAAAAACAGAACACACATGTGCAGTCAGCTTCGTGGGAAGGGACTCCACGAATAAGATTCAAGGTTAAAACAGTAAAGACTAGAAATCAAAGCATAAATGAAGAAAAAAAAAACTCAAGTTACTGAAAAAGACAGAAGCTTATAGCAGTAACAAAAAATATAATTTGCTTTTTTGTCAACTTGGTGTAATAACAGTGCTGGTCTTACATACTATTAGGCGCAACTTAAAAAAGTGCGAATTAAACATTAACTCTGAAATGAAAACAGGACTTAAGTCTTAGATAAGAGGAAAGTAGAATAAAACCATGTTTACTTTTAACCAAATCAAACACTTGAATGGAATTATTAAACGGAATCACTAAAGTAGCTATTGCACTTCTATACCAAGTTAGAGAAAAGTTTTATATTCTGCCTGTTACCTTTGGGATCAATATGGATCAAACTGGGAAAAAAAAAAAAAAAA